TGGCAATTTGACACTTACAAGAACGTATTTAACAATTGGCAAGGCATCACAAAATTTAATTTCTCTTCCGATTGGTCCAGAACATCCTTTATATTTTATTTATTATCCTTTATATCCTTTATATATTTACTTTTATATTTACTTATTATATACCCTATCGAGTTTTTGAATTAGATGCTGTAAAGGCAGTTCATTTGCATTTATTTAATATATACTTCTAACTCGAATAAAGCATTTAGAAATTTAGAAATTCGATATTGACAACTGTTCCATGGCATCTAATTTGGATGTATCAAATTATTTTGGGACTCACGAACGTAAGATCCGTGGTTACTCAGGAACGTAAGATCCGTGGTTCAAACCCAATTTTTGCGACATCGGTTTGGCGTGAACTTCCTATTAAATGCTATTCCGCAGTGCTCTGTGATAAGACCGTAAGGACTTCTTGGGGCAACTAAAATCAACATAAAAAAAAATTTGCTGAGTTAAAAATGTGCTTATTCTTTTCTTAATGTTATATGCATGTCCTGATGCAATCACTACATGCCCCAGATATTTTGACAATCACTTAGCCTATCATTTAGCCTCCTTTCAAAATTATGTTCATATCTTCAAACATGTGCAGTGTACAAGCTATAAATACAACATTTCTGCGTGAAATACCTCCTATGTCGCAGGCTTATGATAAAAATAGTAATGATTAACTTATTTGTTCAGCTTTATCTTTTCTGTTCCGTTTTCGTTTGTAGTTTTCAGTTGTTTCTAAATAACCAGTATCTGAGTCTGACCCAATAAGTACATATAAAAGTGTCAACAGTCCGAATGCAGAAATGAAATGCGGAGTCAGAATGCGGAGGTGAAAAATTAAAACATAAATTCTGAAAGCTGCTTAATAATATTGCTTGACCTTCAATGCTTGTAATTGAGCAATACGTGTCAATGGATTAGACAGTAATTTTTTACTCTGTTTCTCTTGCTTCTTTGTACCTTCTACTTCCCAGTGGGCGTGCATCGTCAGGGGAACGTCCGTGAGACAACCGAAGGACGTCCTCCGGTCGACGCGTGCCCACTGGGTTAGAAGCAGTTCAACTATCAAGACCATTCACATACATAAACTGCATAAATCTGTGATCGCTGAGAGAATCATGTTTTCTTTCTGGTACTTTTTTTTACTTTTTCACAGATGCATTTAGAAAATTAAGACACTTGCATGCTGCAATGCCAAATAAAGTATTTTCTGCATACTTATGGAATGTTATTATTTTGGACTTCAATTTTTCTGTATGTTTTGGTTTGTTAACGGAATTCATAATATTTCTGTACTTTTGATTGTAACCAAGAAACATTTTCACAATGTGTTTATGAAACACAGTAGGAACCGATGCTTTTCTCTTTAAATGTTTTATTTTGTGCGCGAGGTTTTCAGATATTTTTTCAAAGAAAGTTATTTTCCACCACTTTCCACTCTTATTGTCTGGATCAAAGAAAGATGACTTAGCATGACTATGACCTACTGTATTCATATTCTATATACTATGTTTGTATGTCTGGAAAGACATTTTCAGGCAAGTCTACTTGTTAACCAAAAGTATGACGAGTCAAATTTTTCCTTGTTGTCAACCGAAGATATGACGAGTCGACTTGTTGTTGTCAACTGCAGCAGAAGACAATTTTGCCATTTAAATTTTCTTTGAATTTAATTTATCTTCTTGACAAACAACAAAAGTTAATCAGAACAAATAAATTATAAGCTGTAATAATGTATGTTATAATGCAAGAAAATAATATGGTAAATAATACTGATGTTGATGGTTTTCTGCTATTTATCCGAATATTTAGAAAATAAATGATCTGATTTGAAGTTGCGGCAAACCGTTCTGGTTGTGATTGTAATAAGTGACGTAATTGGTGACATAACAACTTAATAAAGTACATTTATTAAGTTGTAATGTCACCAATTACGTTACATTTATAGTTCCATTTTACATACTTTAATGTTATGTTAATAGCCACTGCGTTAACCATTGGTCACAGAATGTTTGATATATAACATTTTTATTAGTTTTATTCACCATAAGAGTGACAAAAAGTGAAAGCATTGACAATAATCTAAATTAATTTATTTCAAATAAAAATTGAAACCTGCCATTTATTCTCGATAGAAAGTTTTTTTTTGTAAAACCCAGCCCTCTAGCAGCAAATGAAGACGTTTAAAAAATTTTCTTAAAATTGTAAACATTTTTAACTGAAATCTATTACAATTTTAGTATATGCATAGAATTGGTTATTTTTATTTCATAAAAATGGTAGAAAACGTTTCATTTTTTTAAAATAAAAAGGCAACCCCCTGGCAGCAACTTGAAACAAAAAAAAAAAAAAAAAAAAAAAAAAGAATTAAAAATTTAGCAAAATTACTAATTATATCGTTACGCCACCATTTTATTACTATTTGAAATTTAAAAAAAAAAACGCTTTTTATACTTTAATACAATATACTTCAACGAAAACTGTTGCCCGAAATATACTTTTGGGCGACAGCTTTTAGGATGACACGACAGTTTTAACATGACAAGTAAACTTCTTACGTAGTTTACATGTCATGTTTGCTTAAAATGAAATTTTTTGGAATTATGCTCTCTTAAATCTGCTATAAAAAAAATTAGATTGTACAAAAAAAAAAAGTATGATGATTCAGCATGTTCACTTGGATTGAGTGTAAGAGCCGTCTCGCTTACTTTCTGTCGCTTACTGTCTGTCGCTTACCGTCTGTCGCTTACCTTCTGTCGCTTACCTTCTGTCGCTTACCTTCTGTCGCTTACCTTCTGTCGCTTACTGTCTAAAAATAAACTTGCATTAAACTAAAAAATGTGTTTTTGGTTTTAAAGCATCATTTGTATTTTAAAAAATTAAATGCTTAGCTGAATTAGATATTTTTTAATCTTTTATAAATAATATATTGTTATTTATAAATTATCTTTTATAAGCTATTAATTTATTTTAAATCATTGGTTTATATAAAAAATGCTAACTAATTTAATTAACAAAATATCCACCGAACAGAATATCTACTATCTTCCTACAATTGTAATAGTTGTTGAAAATTCTGGTCTGGATTTTTGAACATCATCTTTTAACTCGTCTGATAAAACTAGCAACCAAACTATCCATGATGTTGATTTCTATCATTGATATTGCAGATTGTTGAAGTACAATAAAAAAAGTTTAGAAAAATAATAGATTTTCAAGATCTTTTGCTTTTCTCAATTTAAAATACAACTTAATGTTCGGTATAGCAATTAATCCTGGAAAGTATAACTGGTTGTGATGGCGAGCATAATTGATTAATCAAAAAATCAGAAAGAACCATCATTTTAGGTATCTTGCGTAAGCAAAACAAATTAACTATTAAAACAAATAAAATCGATTTACAAGATAAAGAATTTCATAAATAATATATGCAACTAGAAAAGTTTTGCAAAATTCTCTAAACAAACTTTTATTATTCGTCATCTGAACTATCATCGGCAACATTGTGAACAAACATCGGAGAAGATGTGACAATACCTAAATCCTGCAGGGTTTTTAGTTCATTTCCTTGTAGTTCAAAAGACTTTCTCGGGAAGTTAGTAGATAATACAAAATCAGATAAAGTGACATCATTCGCCAACACATAACTGTATAAAAACTGTAAGAAGAAAAAATTTATTTTAAAGATAATAATAAAGAAAAAAACTGCTTTTTATTTTCAAATATACAGGAATGGATGCATACTCGCTAACTCAGCATAGTTAAAGAGAGATTTGAGAGAGCGATTTGTATTTCTTAAAGACAAAAATTTACATTTTAAAACGTCAATTTTTTGTGTTCTCCGCTTACAGGGGTGCGCAGGTTATCGCAGAAAAAATTGAAAACAAAAATTTCGCGGCAAAAAATATGATATACTGTGAAAAACATTTTTGGCGGGAAAATGCAACACAGTTCAACAAGTTAATCCTTAAAAAATGCCGTTTTTCACTAATTTAGTTGTAAAAAACGGCACGATTTGACAGCACGCAAAATGAAAATGCAAGAAAACTTGTTTTTGATCTATGGAAACGTGGTGTGAAAAAAGTTTAAATTTGCAAAGCCGTGAAGGGACAGCTTCATAATTCCAACGTCTACAGACTCTTAAAAGACTTATAAAAACTGGAAAAAATTACAAAAGAAAAAAAACAGGCCCAAATCGTTATACGAGAACTAAAGAACTTCAAAATTCGATCGACTGCAAAGTACGACGAAACCCAAACAGGTCAATTTCATCCTTAGCTAGAGAAGCAGGTGTGTCTCGAAGGACTATGCAACGTGTTGTCCACGATGATCTGGGTATGAAGAGCCTTGTCAAGTCAAAAAGACAACTTCTGAGTGAGGCAACTAGAGCCAAAAGATGCAAAAGATCAAAAGAGTTACTAAATTGGTTCAAAGACCACAAAGATGTCCCTATCGTTTACAGCGATGAAAAAATTTTCACAGTTGAACCAGAACCCAACAGATACAATGACAGTGTTCTTGGTAAGTCCAGAAGAACAGTTCCTTTGGAACTGAGGACTATTCTAAAGAGACAGCACCCTGTGGGCGTCATGGTTTGGGCAGGTGTGTGCTCTGATGGGTCAAAAACTCCCCTTGTTTTTGTTCCTGAAGGTGTAAAAGTCAACCAGGTGACCTATGTCGACTTAATCAAAGCTAACCTCATTCCTTGGGCCAAAAAGAAGTTTGGGGACGATCCATGGGCCTTTATGCAGGATAGTGCACCAGCACACAGTGCAAAGAAAACTGTCAGCTTCTTGAAAGAAAATGTTCCGCACCTTTGGACCCCAGATATGTGGCCCCCTTCAAGCCCAGACATTAATCCTATGGATTTTGCTATATGGAGTGTCATGGAGACCAAGAAGGCAGCCAAAACATATCCAAATTTGGCAGCCCTCCGAAACGAATTGAAGAAGATCTGGAAGAATCTTAGTCCGGACATGGTGCGACGATGCTGTGAGTCAGTTCCAGAGCGTTTGAAGAGTGTCATTGATGCCAAAGGAGGCTACTTTGAAATTCATTAGTGTTTTTGAGTAAAAATATATGTGATTTGGCATTGTGAAAAGTTTTACTTTGAAAATAAAAGCCATTTTTGAGATATAAATATTTTTATTTTTCTGCGATAACCTGCGCACCCCTGTATTTTCGAGTATTACTAATATATTTTAAAAAAGTAGAATTTAAACTTTTCTTATGTAATTTATTATTTTTTTATAAACCTTTTTTAAACCAAAGTATTAAGCAAAACAAAACAACCACTAAAACACATAAAACAAGTCGGGGCAGCGTCATAAAAACAGCTGAAAAAAATGTGTTAATCTTTTATTCAAAAGTAAAAAGTCTCCTTGTTTACAGCATTAAAATATTCAATAAATGAGTAAAAATCTCTTATTTTATCGTTCCGTAAACAGTAAAAATGTTAAAATCGAATTTTTCACATTAGTTTTAACTCAAAGCAATTTACTTCCATAATTTCTTTATAACCGTTTAAATAAATTACTAAACAAAAACGCTTCAACTTTTATAAAACTTCTGTCCCATAGTATTAATCTAAAACTAGGTACGTGCGTATCTGGCTTTTACGGCACCGATTTTAAAGTAAAAATCTGTGACCTACTTTTTTACAGCGTGCTTGGCATAGGTATCGTAAGGATGAGTTTTGTTACCTTATTTTTTAGAATCTTATATCAACTTAGACTTTATTTTAAAAGTAGAAGGTTTAAAGTTTGTTTTTTTGCGTGTCAAGTAGTGTGTAAAATCTTATCCAAAAAATTGGTGAACACACTGGCTATCAATTTAGTCATATTCCGCATCGCGCTACTGTGAAGCAAATGATGCGTGAGCTAGGTGTGGTATCAGACTTACAGACTGCCGAGATAGCATTTTCCACAAAAAATCTCACAATTGGATTTGATGCAACAACTCAGGAGGGTTTCATGTTAATGTTGTGCACTTAACAACCGAATCAGTGTGCATGGTTGTAGCTATTGATCAACTTCCTGGACGGTACAGCTTTTGATTATCGAAGTCACATTACAAAGTCTATTGATAATCTTGCCAAGTTATATAGTGACTTTTACCAGCTACTATACCCTGATGTACGAAATACTATTATTGGCAATATAACTAATACAATGAGTGACAGTTGCAACAAACCATGCAACAATACAACAATAACAAAGTTGAACCTTATTTGGCAGAAATCATTAAATGAACTAAACTGTCATCTTCACCCCTTGGATGCAATAACCAGTGCTTGCAAGTCTTCACTTAAAGCATTAGAGACTTTCAAAGGAAAACTTTTTGGAAAAGACTGCATTGCAGCAAATATTGTTTTACAGCAAAATAAACTTCGCTACAAAGATGCAAAGGACACAATCTTAATCTTACTCTTTTACTTTAGTTAAATTGGATATTTTATTTCAGTGAATTATGAGTTAGAATATAAAACAGATTTTACATGTAGCATGAAAATGTTTTTATTTCACATGCTTCTTGTCGTCTTTAAAACAATATACCTAATGTTATTTAAAAGTGATAAGGGTTTTGTAGTTTTTTTGAACCAACACAAGCTGCCCAGAGGACTGTTACCACGCTACAGAGGGAACAGACTACACATTCTTTTTCACACGTGTGGTATTTTGATTCATCACAATGCAATATTCAAGACTTTTCTGTTTTCTAGCTTGGCGTTATGTTTGGCGTTAGGTTTGAGAAATAATTTGTTGCAAGACTTTACATCTGAAACAGGTGAATCTTATATATGATTGTTTACATTCTTGTACACGTTCAGTTCTCCTATTGGTAGGAAGGCTTGCAATAATAAAGCTTATGTATAAAGTTTTATAAAACTAATCGTTATGACACTTGCAGGAATAAATAGGGGATTGTAAAGTATTAGAGGCCAGTATTATGGTTTATATTCCCTGACTTTTTTTTTTCCAGGTATCCATGAGTTGTGTGCCCTAGCTTTAATTGGAAAGCTACTGACTGGTCCTTGGATAAAAAAATTTTATGTTGCACCTGGTCAGGGACTTGACTACATATCTGGCATTCAGGTAGTCAAAGATGTTTGAGATGCTCTCATCGAGAGCAGCAAGAATCCTCTATATTTAATTAAACAAAAAATAGATTTTTTTGGAAATGGTAATAAAGATTTAATCTGATTCAATAATCAGCTTTTGCCCAGTAACTGATGAAATGAGTAAAACATTAGCAGACTGTCTGAATGCTGTTGTTAGTGTTATTGGCAAGTACAAGCGGCAATTTGACATACGTTCTAATGATCAACTTATGAACCAGACTAAATCAGCAAGGCTTCATAACATTGATTCAGAGAAACTTATGGGCATGTTTAGCGCTGCAAACCAGAAAGCTCCCAAAGCCATGCTTTGTTTTTTTTCTTCAAAACTAAAACAACTGCTCTGCTCTGCAATAAACCTACTGATATTCAAAACAAATTGATTGCATGGGCCATCACTAATGCCAGAAAAATCCGGTTTTCAAATATATAATTTCATAAAGAAATGATGTTATAACTTATAAAGCGTATGGCAGACAAAATTCAGAAAAAGGAGGACAAAGAAAAGAAAATAGAAAGAATTTTAAAAAATTGCGTGCCACATCAGATAAAAGAAATGTTTCCACAACTAGAAAGTAATGCAACTTCGAATATTGAAGAAATTCTTGTAGGAGCTGCTATTGGAAAATATATTTGCCACATGTGGTTTAATACTGCTGCTAATTATCAAGATATATATTATGCTAGACTTCTTAGTGTTAAAAAAAAGAACAGTGCTATATATATATATATATATATATATATATATATATATATATATATATATATATATATATATATATATATATATATACATATATATATATATATACATATATATATATATATACATATATATATATATATATATATATATATATATATATATATATATATATATATATATATAAATATATATAGGTACATATATAGGTATATATATATATATATATATATATATATATATATATATATATATATATATATATATATATATATATATATATATATATATATATATATATATATATATATATAAATATATATATATATATATATATATATATATATATATATATATATATATATATATATATATATATATAGTTTCTTATTGGAAACTAAATGAGATCGATGATGATGATGATGTAGAGTATTAGATGAGCAAATATAAACTGCAGACATCATAAGTGGTAATATGATATCATAAAGAAATAGTGTGAATTGATTTCAATAAGGTATATGTTATTTTGAATAATAATGTAGTTTATTTTGTTTCATTAATAGATTTCATTTATATATGGTAAGTTTCTTGTTTTTTTTTTGTTTTTTTATTTGTGCGATGATAAAAAGATTTATATTTCTTTTATTCATTATTTGTTTACATCAGATCTAATTTCAGGTAGTTGGATTTATTACCGACATCCAACAACAAGGGTTGACTTGGTTGCAATGTGCTATAGGAAACCAGAGCTCATTTACTATTTGACTTATGCCAATTACCTACCTACTGAAACACTGTTTCTACTCAGAATAATCAACCTTTGCCTGCATGGATGCTGAGATGTTAGTGTTAAGTAATTTAAATCAATTACTATACCCTGAAATCGAATTTCTTTTTTCATTATTGTTTTTATATCACATCTATTCTATTTCAAGTAACAAACATTGAAAGATTCATTTGGTTCGATTAAGGGCACAATGTGTTAAACATCAGAACTTAAGTTATTTTGACTTGTTTTTTAACTTAAACTTCCTTTTCCATTATTTTTATTTAGCTTGTTCAGTAATTTTAAAAATCTAATACATTTTATCTATCATTGCAAGGTTTTAGCTCACAGCATAAAAGCTGAAAAATAGATTTTTGCTTCAACAAATGCTAATCTTTAACAAGTAAACATTAAAGCAGTAAGATTATACTAATAGATTAGATTATGCAATAATAGCAGTTACATATTTATTTTCCAGGACATATGGCTTCTCTATTTAAAATGATTGTGTTATGGTAACATGTGTTCATTATTCAGAACATGTGTTCATTATTCAGAGATCCATTTTTTTTTAGATGTCATTGCACTGCATTAACTCTGTTGTGGAAGAATTGAATTTTTCTAACGTTGGATGTGCTTTAAAACTAGGCTATTTTTATAGTCATTATTATTTTAAAAACATTACTAAGCAAATGAGAATACAATCATTTAGTTTGAATTTCTTATCTACAAATTATATTTTAAAAGAAGTAACCTTTTCTTTTTTGACGGGATGTGAGTCTTAATCTATTTGAATCAAGGCGGTATACAAAGGATACAATAAAACAAATTTCATAATACATGTGTATATATCTTTCTGAATACTAACATTAAATGTTCCGCCTGTTGTTGTATGGTAAAATAATTAAAAATGTTTATTTTAAGTTCTTCTATTATTGGCTCCAACTGGAAAAAATGGTGTGACTTGCGTAATAATAATAGCACGTTGATTGAAAACAAAATTCCCCAAAAACTGTTGCTATTACTCTAGTCACATGGTTTTCCGACTTGATCCATAAGTCATTAGGATTGCAAAAAATAAGTATAAATTAAGAAACTCAAATTTTTTAATTGTCTTTATATTTAAGTACACTTTTTAGTTTATCGAAAGTTATACTTATAAAATAAAACAGCAAGTAGAATATGTTTTTTAATATAAAAATCTATATTTATAAAATGTTTAGAAAACAGCGCATATATATGGGCTAATTTTGTAATATGTATAATAATTTATGCTTTTATTAAAAAAAAAATTTATTTGTCATTAAAAATAATTTATTTATTTAAATATGTAATAATATTTATTTTTTGATAAAGTTGCGTTGAATTAAAATTTAAAGAAAACAAAATAATGCGCAATTTAATAATAGAAGTTATTATTATAAACCTTGTTGGTTTCATTTTTTCTTAAATAATCCTTATAATGAAATTTTGTTACTTAAATGGGCATAACTTTTAGTAGAATTATTTGTTTTTTATAAAATTTTCACCATTGTAATACTAATTTAAAGCTCTTTCTAACGATATATAATATTTATATATAAAAATAATTTCAAATTTTTTACGTGTACCTACTAAAACTTAAAACTCGTAGATAATAAAATCACCAAATATTTGTAAACAAAATAAAACAATGAGCTTTGTGATTTTTTTTAAAAATTAAACCAATCAAAACGCACACACAAAAAAGGGCATTTTTAGAAAACGAAAGGGCCTAAATGCTATATTTTTCTTCGGCTCTCTCCTAACTATGCTGAGAAGTAAAGAAATTATTTAGCTTAATAATAAAAAGCGTTATATATCCAATAATATAATCACATTTATACACACCGACATGACGCAAATTTTTATCACCAGAATGAGTGAAGATAATGTCTACCAGTTGTACTTTTTACATAAACATATGTAAAAAGTACAACTGGTAGACATTATTTTCCATTGAAAAATTTAAAAACTAATATTTATAATTTATGCGCCAATTATAAGAAAACTAAAGTTTTTAAATGACTTTTATTTTTAACACTTAAGCAAAGTAACATATCCAGTTCCAATTAAAATTATTGAAAAACTTATTGTGAAAGCACTCAACCGCAAAAGCATATTGTGCAACTTTTGCATCTTTTCGAAAGCACCGCTCTTACTTATAATGAGGTTTACAACATTTTTTTACCATTAAAAATAATAAAATGATGCTATTAATTTAAATCAGTAAAATACCTGAAGAGTAGTTGTTTTTAAAAAGTATCTTTGCAGTTGCCGACCATTTGGCAACTTTACACGTATCATGATGGCGCCTTCATCACCTGGAGCTGGTTCAATGCAGTTCTTTAAGGCTTGACAGCATTTTTCCCGGTTTTCTTTGATAGCCTTAACAATATGAATTTTTGTTATATTAAACAAAAACATTATTTTACAAAATAAATTGATAACTATAACATTGATTTATTTAAAACGATTTATAACACTTTTAAAAGACTATGTAATTTTACAGTGACGGATCCAGAAATTTTTGGTGGTGAAGAGGGAGCGTCGTCAGGGGAATGTTGAAGTATTATTTTTATTATATACCACATTTCATGCGGTAGTGGTGTAGTGGTAGAGCGCTCGCTTCATAAACGAGTGGTTCCGAGTTCGATCCCCACCACGTCCCTGGTAGCACCGCGCTCAACTCGTTTCTCCGCGCAGCGGCCTTGCTTGTCAAGGTTCGTGTTTTGGAGTTATAGAGTTGAGAGAGGGTTATAACCACAAATAAGTAGCCTCCTCGTCTGTAGTGGCCTTCTCGGCCTTGAGGAGGTGAATTAAAATAGAAAAAAAAAAAAAAAATTGCGTCTAAATAAATGAAAAAAAAGGGCCTACATTTCCAAGATATTTTTAAGGACTTTCAGATTCTGATGGAGAAAGGGAGGGCAGGGGGATGCATACCCCATAAACCCCCCTCCCCTGGATCCATCACTGTAATTATGCTACTATCAATTATGAAAACTAAATTTATTTCAGTATTTCATATTAAATATGAAAACATAATTCCCCATAATGGTTACAGTTTTAATAAAGGTTTTTCTTTTCATATTTTATTAGATTTTTATGGTATATGTTAGCAACATTGAGTATACATGAAAATTAATGTTATAAAAAATTCTTTATGTATTGGTCTTTTATAGATCAGAGTTGGAAAATAAAATCCTTTAATGTAGTACCTATCTTTTATTATAAGTAAAAGATAGGTACCATATAAAAGTATCCATATAAAATCTCTACATATCCTTATTTCTATGTAATAGGAACAATATTTGCCATAAAGATAAAAAATTAATTCTTTGAAAATATATTTAACTCTACAAGCTACGCTTGCTCCAAGCAATTCAGATCAGGTCCAAGCAATTCAGGTCCAGCAATTCAGGTCCAGCAATTTAGGTCCAGCAATTTAGGTCCAGCAATTCAGGTCAGCAATTCAGGCCAGCAATTCAGGTCAGCAATTCAGCTCCAAGCAATTCAGGTCAGGTCAGGTTTATCTTGCTACTAGTAACATGTAACCCAGTACAATCTGCTTTATGTCCTGCTGCCTTGTAGGATATGCCTTTTTAGGCAAAGGCTAGGAGATGCAAACTCCGACATAAAACACCCCCTGCCTTGGGGCTCTTGGTTGAGTAAAGACAAGAGATGGTGTCTCGATAAAAATACTCATCTTGGGCAGATGTTAAATGCATCCGGCTGCTGTCTTGTAGAAAGCCTCCTAGACAAAGACTTAAGGGGTAAACAGATTTTATCTGTTGACCAGCCTTGCACCCCTTCTCCATCTATTAGGCTGGCGCAGATGTATTTTTAATACATTGTTTCCAGTTTAGGATGTTGAACGCTGGATCTTCTTGACTCAATGCATGGGTTTTGCTTGTGTCTCTGTTTTTATGACTAGGCAACTCATTCTATTATCTCCAAATGAGGGTACAGCTCTAAAACTCAGTTTTATGGTTCTGAGGCCGGCTGGTAGTCAGGTTTCCTGAACTCTGTGGTAGCTCTCAGAGAGGCTGATTCCATCAACAGCTGAAAAATATCAGAGTACTAATAGTGCCATAATGCACATGGATGGTGTCCCTGTTTGTACTTTTGGTGTGCATTGCCGAGGCCACATTGGAACCCTTTGTTACGGCTTAGGGTTTATTAGTGAAAATGAGGCAATTGCTTGGGCTATAAAACAGTGCACTGAGTACTATCTATGTTTCGAGTCAAGTTCTTTAACAAATTTAAAAATGAATAAAGTAACAAAAACTATAAAACACAAAAAACCACAGTCATCACCAAGTTCTCTAAACCTATCATTTACTAATATTCGTGGTCTTCGAAGTAACTTTTCTTCTGTTGAGTCTTATCTCTTGCAAAGTTCACCAGACCTATTTGCTCTTTGTGAGACTAATTTGAGTTCAGCTGTCTCATCTTGTGATCTTAGTGTTGATGGTTATCTTCCTTTAATTCGTAAAGATTCCGATAGTCTCATGCTTGGCCTGGGCATTTACTTGTAAGAATTCACCCATTTGTTAGGAAACTAGGTTTGAATGCCCTCATTCTTTATCCATCAGCCAATATTGTTGTTGTCGGTGACTTTAATGTTCATCACACTGAATGGCTTGGCTCTAGTGTCAGTGACTCTGCAGGCATTAAGGCCCACAACTTTTGCCTTTCTCAATCCCTAACTCAAATAGTCAACTTTCCAACTCGCTTTCCAGACAACCCGAATCATTTACCTTCTCTACTCGACTTATGACCTGTTTCTGATCCTAGTCAGTGCTCAATTTCTCCACACTCACCCTTAGGTGCTTCTGATTATGGTTTGGTCTCTCTAAAACTATTATCTCATTCTTCTTTACCATCAGAATCCCCCTATCATTGTACATCTTACAACTACCTTAAAGCTGACTGGGACTCTTTCCGTGATTTTCTTTGTGATGGCCCCTGGGTAGAAATCTTTCGTCTTCCTGTTGACAAATGTGCTTCTTACATAACTTCATGGATTCAGGCTGGCATGAAATCCTTTATTCCCTCTCAAGCCTCACTCTTCTCCATGGTTTTCCTCACATTGTGCTGCTGCAATTGCTAATCGAAACCATTACTTCCATATCTATCAGCAAAACAATTCTCCAGAAAACAGACATCTGTTTATTACTGCTAGGAACCATTGTAAAAAGGTTTTGTCTAACGCCAAAGCCCGCTATTCTCAGATCATGAAATTTCGTATTTCATCACAAAAATTAGGCTCTCGTGACTTCTGGAGAATCCTTAATAGTATCAATAATAAGGGCAAGTCTGTAATTCCACCTCTTTTGTATGGTTCAGACTTTGTCACCTCACCTAAAGACTAAGTTGAATTGTTTGCCAAGAACTTTTCATCAATATCATCTCTTGATTCCACTAGTTGCGTTCAAACAGGTTGATCCACTGCTCGACATCCATATCACTCCAGCTTCTGTATCTAAAGTGATTTCCTGCTAAGACTCTTCTACAGCTTGCGGCCCGGACAACATACCTGTTATAGTCTTGCAGAAGTGTTCTCCGGAGCTGTCATCCATCCTTTCAAAACTATTTAACAAGTGCTTATCAGAGTCTTGTTTTCCAGCCTGCTGCAAAGCAGCATCTGTTATCCCTATTTTTAAAAATTCTGGAGAGCGATCTAATTCGTCTAACTACCGTCCCATTAGTCTTCTTCCTATCATAAGCAAGGTTTTTGAATCTTTAATTAACAAACACTTAATCTCTCATCTCGAATCTCATAACCTACTTTCTGATCATCAATATGGATTTCGATCTTCTCGTTCTACAGCTGATTTGCTAACAGTAATAACCGATAGGTTTTATCGCGCATTAGATAAAGGTGGAGAGGTTAAGGCCATCGCTCTTGACATTTCTAAGGCGTTTGATAAAGTTTGGCATGCTGGTCTTCTCCATAAGCTTTCTTCTTACGGTGTATCTGGAAACATCTGTAAGATTATCGAATCCTTCCTTTCCAATCGTAGTATAAAAGTTGTCCTTAATGGACAGCACTCTTCTTCTTATTCTGTAACCTCAGGGGCTCCTCAAGGTTCAATCCTTGGCCCTATACTCTTTTTAATTTACATTAACGATCTTCCAGATTTTCTCACATCTAAGGTGGCATTGTTTGCTAATGATACTACCATTTATTCTTGTCACAATAAGAAGCCAACTCCCTCTGATTGCTTGCAGGGGGCATCTGAGCTCGAAAAGGATCTCACTTCTGCTACAGCATGGGGCTCACAGTGGCTGGTGAACTTTAATTCAGATAAAACTCAATTTTTTTTAGCCAATCGTTATCGCAATAATTTAGACCTTACTATATCTATGAATGGTAATGTACTCGATGAGTCTCCTACCCTTCATCTTCTAGGATTAACTCTTATTTCTGATCTTTCTTGGAAACCTTATATCAAATCCGTTGCAAGATTAGCATCTGCTCAAGTCGCTTCTCTTTATCGAGCTCGTCACTTTCTTACTCTGGATTCTATTCTCTATCTCTATAAATCTCAAATCCGGCCTTGTATGGAATACTGTTGCCATATCTGGGGTGGATCTTTTAATGATGCCCTTTCTCTTTTAGACAAGATGCAAAAAGGCTGTAAACATAGTTGGACCTACTCTTGCAGCCAACCTTCAACCTCTGTCATATCGTCGTAATGTTGCTTCTCTTTCTCTTTTCTACAAATACTATAATGGGCACTGCTCTAAAGAGCTAGCGTCTCTTGTGCCATCTACTAAAATTCATTCTCGTGTTACTCGTCATTCAACTAAGTCTCATCCTTTTTCTGTTACTGTTCCTAAGTGCTCCAAAAACTCTTATTCGTCTAGTTTTTTTCCTCGAACATCAACTCTTTGGAATTCGCTTCCTTCATCTTGCTTACCTGATTCATATAATTTGCAATCTTTTAAGTCGTCTGTCAATCGTTATCTTGCTCTACAATCTTCATCTTTTCTCTTCCAGTAACTCCCAACACTAATTAGTGGTTGCTTGCAGCCTTGTTGGAAGCGAAAATGTTAAAAAAAAAAAAAAAAAAAAGCTACAAGATCCTCTTGCTCCAAGCTACAAATTTTATTTGCTTAAACTAAAATTATTTGAGTTGCATTGACTTATTTATATAATTTAATAAAATTCTAATATAATATATAATTTATATAATATATATATATATATATATATATATATATATATATATATATATATATATATATATATATATATATATATATATATATATATATATATATATATATATATATATATATATATATATAATTTAATTTATACATATAATATATATAATTTAATTTAATATAATTCTAAATAAAAAGTTGCATTGAATTATTTAATTTAAAAGTTGCATTTGATTGAATTTAAATGAAAACTATTTTTTAATTAAAAAAATCTTTCAAAAAAAGTTGAAAAATTGAAACTTTAAATAGCAATACTTTATCTAAATTTATATTAAACAAAAAAATATTTTAAGGTGTTTTTTATATTTGCAATAAAGTGAAAAACTGTTTAGTTTTGTGTATTACATACATTAAAATTAGTGTTTACAATTGACCAAAAAATGAACTAATCAAAACTTAATTTAAAGGAGAAAAAGCCATGCAAAAATGATTCACTTTTTTCTAATTTCGATATAAGTTCAGAAAAAAAACTAACTCTTTTTTGAATTTTTATATTTATGTAGTATTTTTGAAATATTTAAGTGAAATGTTCTTATAAAATTTATCTTTGGGTCTTTTTTACTTAACTAGTCTACTTTTGTATTGATGTGTTGTATTAATGTGAATATTTTTCTATTAAAATATGTATTTTTACATTCAAATGTGTACTTTGGTATTGAAGAGTCTAAATTTATATTAGAATGTGTATTTTATATTAAAATGTGTACTTTTGTATTGAAGCGTACATTTTTATATTAGAATGTATATTTTTGTATTGAAATGAGTATTTTTGTATTGAAATGTGTATTTTGTATTGAAATGTGTATTTTTGTATTGAAATGTGTATTTTTGTATTAGAATGTATATTTTTACATTAAATTTTTTATTTTTGTATTGAAATGTGTACTTTAGTGTGGTAGTGGTCTAGTGGCAGAGCCAAAGTTTGCAAGCATGCAGTTCGCTTAACTTGTTTCTCCATGCAGTGGCCTTGTTCATCTAGGTTTGCACTTGCACACCAGTTTTACTCTAAAAACCTTCTTCTGCCTCTCATCTTAATTCATTCAATCCCACTCTCAGCTTCATCCTTCAATAACCCTCAACCTTGCCTTTTAATACTGCTCATCTTCACCCTCTCTAATTCAAATCTATGTTCATTTAATGATGTAGATGTAATTTTATCTTTTTAATACTTTTTTTAGTTTTAATGAAATAACAAGCATAGCGCTTTAATAAGGACTGTTGTCTTCACAATAAAAAACGTTGTCGCTGTCTTCAGGCATAAAAAAAAGGTAATAAGGACTGTTGTCTTCACAATGAAAAACGTTGTTGTTGTCTTCACGCATAAATAAAAGTAAATTAAAAAACAAATAAAATAAAAATTAAAGAAAACAGAAGTAGAACTAGAAGATTAAAAATTACTACTACGAATTAAAAAATATTCACGACTAAAATAACAATTTTAATTTAAGAATAAAATAATACTTGAATTTTTTTTTCCTTTTTTATCCTTTTTTGTTGTCGCTCATATTCTATTTTCTTTTCTGCATCCAACAACTTTTGCCTTTCTTCTGCTTTTTTTTTATCTTTAGCCAAAGAGTCTTGGTAAGCTGCGTCTTGCTCATTGCGAATATTTTGAGACATGCTAAGTTCATTCCTATAAATATTAAAAACATTTTGAGACATGCTAAGTTCATTCCTATAAATATTAAAAACATTTTATGTAGCAATCTGATCAAATGAAAGAAAAAAGAAAGAATTAAATAGTACTGATATTTAATAACAAAAATTATTCTCCAATAATATAATAAACTATTAAATAACTTTTTAATTAAAACTGAATAATTCCAATAAATATAAAATGATAAAAATTTAAATTTTAATTAAATAAAACGATGAATTCAAATTTAAAATTATTGTTACCATTTATTTCCCATCAGACCAATAAGGCTTTAGCAACTACATATCTGAGTACAGATATCTTTATATATATATATATATATCTTTATATATATATATATATATCTTTATATTTATACACATATATATATATATATATCTTTATATATATATATATATATATATATATATATATATATATATATATATATATATATATATATATATATATATATATATATATATATATATATATATATATATATATATATATATATATATATATATATATATATATATATATATATATATATATATATATATACATATATATATATATATATATATATATATATATATATATATATATATATATATATATATATATATATATATATATATATATATATATATATATATATATATATATATATATATATATATATATATATATATATATATATTATATATATTATATATATTATATATATATATATATATATATATATATATATATATATATATATATATATATATATATATATATATATATATATATATATATATATATATATATATATATATATATAAACAGGGTTTGAAATAACTGTCTGACATTGAATATTGTCCAGTACTTGTCCCATAAAGAACTTCATTAATTAAACTATATTTTTGTTTACTGAGTGTTTTTTATTTATTTAATAAAGTTGAATGATTAATATGCCATTATACAACATAGTGCATATTTCTGTGTTAACTTGTTAGCATGTGTTTTATTTGAAAGAGATAATAATTTATTTAACATGCAATCATATAACTCATAATAAAAAACTAAGTATTTCATTTAAAATCACCTTAGGGCTAATAAATATTTAGGGTAAAAATTCAAGTTATTCAAGTAATTACAAATGCAAAGAAAATAAGAGATGCAATAATTTTCAATAATCTTAAATAAATTCTATTTATTGTAAAAAGTTGTAAAAGTTTGTTTGTTAAAAATATAGTTATGTTGTAAACAATTAAAAATATGTTCTAGAACTATTAGCCATTCATTCAAAGTTTAATTATAAAATAAAAAAATGTTTTAAATGATTTTTTGCTCTAGCTCAAAAAAAAGTTTTCAAAACCATTTTTATATACAGTATATACAATATAGTTAATAAATTTTAATTTTTGAATTTTTATGAAATGTACATAATATTACAAACATAAACTTAAAGTTGTACAAACTGTAATGGTCTGTTTAAGCACGTCATTTTTATTGTTACCACAGAGAAAGTGGAAACGAAATTATATCCCAAAAGAATTTTATTTTATGAGTAGCACTTTTTTTGAACAGGGGGCTTACATCAAAATTTTTTTTTTTTTAAATAAGCTTCCCATGTATATAGTTAATTTCTTGAAAATAAGTTTTATGGTAGCGCTACACTTTGAACGCTTTTTAGTTTACTTTTTTAGAAACTTGATTTGTATTTGAAATTTTGGAGCAGTGAATCTATTTGTTACTTTTTGTTTAACTTATTTCTGATCAAATTAAATTTTGGGTAACTAAATTGAAAATTTTTATTTTATAAACTTTACAATTAATGTACGAATTTAAAAGAAGTTTAATGATAATTTGTTTTAATTAACTCAACCTAGGCCGTGATATAAAATAAAAAATATGAAAGCAGTTTTCACTTTTTGTTATGAAAGAAATACAAAGCATACATGCATGAAGTACGCTGTTTTGTTGTTATGTTTGTGCAACTCCCAGAAAAACTGACGACTTAAGTTATGATGAGGAACTTAAACAAATTACATTATGTCTAAAGTGTTCAAAAGTTGAGCCACCTAAAAAGAAAATTTAAAAAACACTTTTTTCCTCCATTTAACCACTTTCAAAACAGTTGCCTACATTGCCTACAAATTCTATTCATGAAAAAAATGCTAATGAACAAACATATAAGATCACAGTAAAACCCCAGTAAAGTATCAGTATTGAGGAAAAAAACATGGAAGTTGGAGCTTGCTGAGTATTCAGTTACCTAATAGCTTTTTTACAATATAGATTTAGATAAGAAAGTAAGAAACTTAAAATGCAAGTTTTGCATTGAATGCAAAGACAGCATTAAAACTATGTTGTATTATTCGAATACATTTATAGTTGAATCAACAAATTACAGAAACCTTCTGTAGTTGATAATTCTAAGTCTCAACACTTGACTCGCTTACTATCTTTATCTTAAAAAATTTGGTAATTTTTGTAATACATCCAAACATTTATCGTTATAAAAAAGTAATGCAACAATTACTGATGATTTTTAAAAAATGGAAAAAAATGACTTAGAAAAGACCAAAAGAAAATTTTAAATTTCACAATTTATAATAAAACAACAGTTATCAAACTGTTTCAAAATTTGTTCTAATTGTTACATTAGTTGAGCTTTTTTTGTAAAACATGGGTGAAACATATATTTCAGATCGCCAGTGTGTTGTTTTTATTGATTAGATAGCAAGAAGTCAGCAAAAATTAGATTTAGCCTTAGAAGTACTAAATTTTATAGTGTTTTTTTTTTTGACAGTTCAACGAATAGTGCTGTTCTTGAAAATGAAGTAGTTTATGCATTTCACTTTGATCCTCAGCCAGCTGGTTCAGATTCAGTTGAAGTCAGGAGTTCCTTTTTAAACATAAAATATTAATATTCTGTGTAATAGTTTTAGAAGAATGCTTCATCGATTTTTTAATCAATTAAATGCATTGGTTTTACTTCAGATGGAGCATTAAATGGAGGTAATTGAAGTAGTGCTAATAGCGTTCTTGGCAAAAAAAATCCTGTGGCTTTATTTATTTGGTGTGTTGCACACCGCTTATAATTAGCAATCACAGATGCTTTAGAAAATTTCAGAATTTGATCTTGTTGATGAAATTCTAATATCAAGTTAATATTTGTATCAAAAAGCTCAGGCAGCTTCGTGAGTTATATTCTTTTGTAAAAGATGAGATGGATAATGCTTGACAAAAGTTGCAAACCTAAAAAGGCTTCTGGAACAAGATAGATTTCATATTAACTTAAAGCTATGAAATCTTACCTTGATAAATATGGTTCAATATTACCCATCTAAAACATTTAGCTGGAGATCCATTGATTTTTGCTCGCAACATAGCTAAAATGAATGGTTATCTTACAAAATGGAAAAAAGGAAAAATACTTTTTTCATTTGCTTTTTTTTTTTATCGATTTACTTGAGATTCCATCAAATCTCTCTCTTTTTTTTTTAATCGATTTACTTGAGATTCCAACTTGATCATCCGAAAACTTTGTTTTCGGATGATCAAGTTGACCAAGTTCAAGTCATAAACTGTCTTACAGAAGCTAAGCAAAGATGTTAACTATTTAAAAAATAAAAAAAAGTCTAGAAAATTTGCCTTGAGTTAAAAATTTCCTTTCACAAACTAAAAAAAAAAAGACAAGCATTACATAATGACATTGAACTTAAAAACAAAACTTAAAACAAAAACTATTGAGTACTTTAATATAGTCAGGGATTTGTTTACACATCATGTTGAAAATGAAAAAGAAAGTACACTGGTTTTAAATTATGCATCCCAAGTATTAAATTGCAGTGGTTTAAGGAGGCTATAACTAAAACTAAAACTAACTAATAAATATAAATATAACTATAACTAAACTTTGATTTTGCAGATGAAGCTTTGAATTATATATGTAAACACTTTCAAGAGCCATTACTCTCTGCTGGTGTTGCTTTTCCAGACATTTTAAGTCAATGGAAAGAAATGAACAAGGCTATGCACTAGAGTTTTTATCTCTGGTTGAAACAATATATTGCATTATCTGGCAAGGCATATTAACAGCTCCCTGAAGTAAATCATATAAAGCATTTCAACAGTTTTTGAGTTTTTTTTGTTTTTTTTAACAAATTCACTTCCGACAAGGCTGCAAGCAGCCACTATCAGAGTTGAAAGTCACTGAAAGAAAGTTACTTATCAGAGTTGAAAGTTACTGGAAGAGAGTTACTTATCAGAGTTAAAAGTTACTGGAAAAGAAAAAATTTATAAAGCAGATAATGACTTAAAGACAACTTTAAAAATTTCAAATTTCAGGAAAATTTCAATCAGGAAAACTAGATGAAAGGAGCAAATTCAAAATAAAATATCGGGTTAAAAAGAAAAGAACTATTAGTTCCCTTAGCAACAGTGAAAAAAGGCTGAGAGGAATAGCTGGAGTTTTTGATGATAAATAAAACACTTAAGCTTAAGCCAACGTTTTGTAAAAATCTTTTATTTTTTTCTTTTATTTTATTTCTAAAAGATTTACAATAAATACAAAATCTTGCTTTTACAATCCAAAATATTTATATCGAGAAAAGTTGCTTTAATGTTAAACCAGTAGATATACCAAAATTCTTAAGTAAACAAATTGGAAAGAAAATCGAAATGAACACAACTATTATTACTTTAATAAATCATACTCTTTTTTTTAAATCTTTTTTTATTCCTGAAAAACTCTTAAATATTCAACTTTTCTGAATTCTGATTCATTCACAAATATCAGTTTTAAATAACAAATCAGGAAGAATTATTTTGAAACGAAGCAAAATAAAATTTGAGTTGAGTTTCATTGGTCATGTCAGACAAATCAAAGGTTTTCTCAGTGCGGAATGAACGTTTTTTTTAAAACATATTCCCTTCCAACAAGGCTGCAAGCAACCACTATTTGAGTTGGAAGTTACTGGAAGAGAAAAGATGAGGTTTTT